TCAGGGTAAATCAGCTGTATTGTTTGTGTAGGTTGGTGCATTACGAGATGACGCAACACGCAAGATTCTGTTAGGGTCCTGCATATATATATACATATATATATATATATATATATATCGTCCTAGGTTGATATCATAGACATAAGCATCCATGGATAAGTTTTGTTGTAATTTACCGTTTGATTATTGATTTTTTAATACAGGGTGGTTGAACTTCTGAGACACCTTACAACTTTGAAATTGTGACGTTCAAGTATGAGATCTCGCATTTTAGGAATAAAATATCTGAACATAAGAATCAACTCTAGATTCAATAAAAGCAGAACACCGGAAGTGCTGAGTGCCCGTTATACATTAGCTCGCCGCTACATGACGTGATGCACGGCGTCGGACTGGTGTCTACCGAGATGGCTTACCTGCTGACCTTTCGAAAGCCGTCCTTTACAGCCAAATTTGGCAGTAATTTGCAACGTGCCAAGAGCGAATGGTTGGCAACAAAATACAGTAAGGGCTAGTACGACATAGCACAGTGTTCTACTTAGCTGACCAACAACTTTTTAATGTCGTTCCAGTTTCTTCAAGCATCCCCCAGAAAGTTGCTGGTACATGGGACGGGGACCTGTTCCAGTTGACATGGATACCCGTTCAACCAGGAAGCAAATAGTTTTGCTAAATAAAATATCGTAACAGCGAGAGCGCAACTGTGCTCAGAAGCGCGTATGCAGTGACAGTAGCACGGTCTTCCTTCCATTCATACCGCTATCCACACAAGCTGCGGAACGACTGCCTTTTTCGGTGCCGTCGTGCACCCGCATACCAAACAGGGATGTACAAAAGATTTACAACCTTTTCTAACTGCCAAACGTAGACGTTCCCAAACAGAGGACATTTGCGACAGCATCTCTTCAGACCAATTTGTGCTTACTTACGGAAGCGGCGTGTTAATGGGAACGTTCTTCTGCCAAAGTCAGTGTCGGATAGGTTCGGCCGTATGACAGGCAAACAGTGTTGCATGCATTCCGAGCCCCGCGAGAAATAACCTAGTAGGCTGGCAGGCCACTATTTTGCTAAAATGAACATGCATGCGTTACTCATTTTCAGCTCAAACCTGCGCCATCAAGCGAGATAGCTCTTGGCAGCCGCGGAAGTGATACAAATCGTCCGCAAATTGCATGCCGCTGGTTCATCACACTTGATGCACTTTTTTACATATTTCCATTTGTCTAGATGCCCAGGACTATTTCTCACCAATGCTGGGCAATATGCCCGAAACAATACTCCTTTCCAATTCAGTCAGCCTTCGTGATATAGTACCCCTAGAGCTCTCAAATACCTAATCAGATTCTATGTCGCCGACGTCCTTAAAGCCGCACGAATAATGCTGGCAGTAACACTGCTAATTCCTCTTACATCGCAAAAATAAACAATTATATCCCTCATCCACTTATCAGTAAACAAACACGCACTGTGCTATCTCTGCTAATCTCACAGTACATGTTATGCTTGCGCAGAAGGTTGCTGCGCTGCTGGACATATTCCGGCCTCCTCACTCCATTATCAAGACAACCGTGGCACGTTCTCATGGTCCAGTTGGTCAGAGCGCCTGCATTCCGATTAGTCCACCGGTGGCGGGGAGGGGGGGGGGGGGGGGGAGGGCTCGAGCCGAGTTAAGTGCTCACCACTGCTTGGCTCGAGGGCTAGTCTCAGAAATAAATAAGGAGTACAACGCTTGTTATGCAATGCCGTAAGTTGTCATGGACTGAACCCGGCCCAGGTCTCAACGGCCTGGAGTCGCGGTGACGTGAAACCAACACCAATTGCCGGAAGACAGAACAGGCAGCGGCATTAGCAAAAGTGTGGGTGCATATATGCGGCCGCTTACACGCGTGCTCGTGGGCAAAGCGATGGTCTGCCCATCCGCGGGTGTTTCTTATAGATGGGTGTGACAGTTCGGCAGGTGAGGCAGATTAACACATCAAATTGACCGCACCCGAAGACGACTGCACATCTACAGACCACTGAACAACCTTAACACTGGCAAAACGTCTTACAAACTACCGGAAAGCGATCAATGTGCTCTGTGAGGGCCGATCTAAAATACAACACACTGATCAAGGTAGAAAAGATTGGGCTTTACACACTATAGGTACGCGCAGGCCAGCTGCCTTTGACAAAGCAATACAAGTATTTACGTTTTCACATTATATTTGTCAGACGTCACGGGCGTAAACCATCATAGAAGCATCGATTGCATCGACTAGGTTTTGGTCTGGCCAAAACCCATAGCCAGATTGCTTTCAAGCAATGTGGTTTGTAAGCTGGCGCGAATGCTTTTTCAGCGAACCTTTACACGTCAAAAACTCGTGATAGACGAACTTTCATATGCCATGAGCAGACCCACTTGTTAAAAATCTTAAAGGTATTTGACTCCATTAAGTTAGGATTTGGCACCAGGGTAACGTCTTGTGAGCGTGAGAAGCGACGGAGCTGATCATTTCAGTGATCGTATCCATATGGTGCGGCGTATCAGACCAGTGACAATGTCCACAGTGAGCAGCTCACCAGGGCGCCAGGCGCCATCGTGTCCACACGACGTAGCTCACATGTCCTAGTGATCGTATCCACAGTGCCGGCTCACCAGGCCAAGTGATCGTGTCCACACGACGTAGTTCACCAGCCCAGTGATCGAGTCCACAAAGCGCGGCTCACCAGTTCAGTGATCGTGTCCACAGGGCGCGGCTCACCAGTTCAGCGATCGTGTCCACAAGGGCGCAGCTCAAATGTCCACAGGGCGCAGCCCATCAGCACAGTGATTGGTTTTTATAGCTACTCAGGGCTCTTGCGGGCCGTCAGAGAACGCTCCTACCGCCGAAAAGCCCTCCAGGCTTCTCGTGGGACCCTCTACGTGCTCAGGGCCCTTAGGAATCGAAGGGAATCCAGTAAACCTTCAAGGCTCTCCGTCTACCCAGTGTCTCTGGCTGTTCACAGGCCTTTGACCTCAGCGTCATGGCTGGCAACTTGCGGACCTCTTCAGCTGTTGAGGGTCTTCTGGCCGCTGACTACCTACCCGTTTGGTGGCCCAGAACCATTTATTAAATCTTTGCGACCACCTGGACACTGAACTGCTCTGAGCTTTTTGGACGCGCAGTGACCACATCTTTTAATGTAATTTTCATGTTTTTGATATGCTGCTTATCTTATGTTTTAAATGACATTTTTTTGCGGATGTTGAGCGAGGCGAGAAAGACAAGAACGACCCTGCTCTTAATGACAATGCATTCCAAAATTGATACACGAAAATTGTTGCGGCTTTGATTGGGCAAAATGGTGGAATATATCAGTAGTTCAAAAGGATGGCGGCTTGAGTTCAGGAAAAATTGCGTGCGCTCGACGCGTGAAAATCAGCGGCGCACGACGTGCTGAGTTTCTGCATGAGAAGAGTGATAACGTCGGCTGGGATCGGCGATAGTTCGCTTGGGTGAAATTGGTGGAAATATGCATCAGGTCGCAGCGGTGTAGCCAAGGAGGTATTCGGATGTCATGCGCCTCCTTAGGGTGGCGGGGACTCTCTGGCGCCGAATGCCCTACTACTTTTTTGACGTCGAGACATGTGCATGGGCGTACGCCAGAAATTCACAATGGGGGGGGGGGGGGGCGGAGGGCGTATAACCAATGAATATGCACTGAAATGGGGTTTACCGCGTTCCGGCGCGCTCAGTTTTAGGTGTATCGTGTATAAATATGGTGTGTTTTCGACGCTATTTTGCGTGTCTGCTTGGAGTTTTTAGGGCGTACGCGTACGCGTGTCAATATTAATCACACACTACTTTTGTTTAACTACATTATACCTTTGGTAAAGCTTAACGTGCCTTGAGGGGGGGGGGGGTGGAGGGGTATACACGTACGGCAATGGACACTCGTGAGGCTTCTAAAGCATACCCAAGTGGCACCCGAGGCATCAAAATAGCATTACCCACCTAAAAGCTTCTCGAAGCAAGACAGAACTAGACACCTAAGCGACTTAAAAGGCCCCCTTCCATGAAAGAGTCTATGATTGCTTTGGCCCCCTCCTGCGGGAAATCATGACTGCAAAGCTGTCAGGCCATGGGCTCAAACGCCGACAGATGCTTAGGTTTATGTCAAAACTTTTCACGCCTTAAGCTTTTGATAAAAGTTTAATAAGCTTTAACCAATCCTGGTCTGCATGCTAATTTTTACATCAGAAAGGTTCAGTTGCTTTTTTTAAAATCATGACCAAAGACTCCCTCTGACGAATTGGCCCGAGTCCAATGAGTCTCAAATTGGTGGTAGTGCGTCCTTTTATACTGAACTAGGCATAAAGGACCGGGGCCAGGGAGCAGCGAAAAGAGGGCGGAGGCTCGCCTCCCATCCTTTAGGCTCGCCTCTTACGTGTTTACCATACATGGCTCTCGACTGAAATTATACCTCCCCGAGAACTTGTCAGCTCCCCTCCTCCCACTTCCCGTTTAAGAAAATCCTACCTGTAGCCTTAACCGGGCCCCTGAATCATGGACTCTCCACTTTTAGATACCGATTTCCTGAGGTGGGCAATGGATCCGGCTTCCAAGTGTGTGTGTGTGTGTGTGTGTGTAAAATGAAGGGCAGGGGCAAAGCCTTTTTTACTATTATTTCAAGCTAACGCCCAACTCTTGGTGTTGAGTGAAGCGTGTTATTTTCCACGTCATGAGCTGAACCCCCAACCTTCCGAAAACATGGATAAAACATTAAAATTAAAATGATTATTGGTCTCACGGTCCAAAACTAAATTTTCAAAAGCTTCGGGTGCTCAGCCTTCCATGATGCCACATAGCCTCCGTACCAAGGCGATCTTAAGCACTGTTCTGCGCTCGTGCATTGCATTCATTGCATCCTTCTGCACCGTGGCAAGCTTCTAAGTCAGTGACGTCATTTATTTTGCGCAGTTGCTCGTTCATTGCTATTCCACCTTGCCTTTCAACCTTGGTCTATGGTCTCGCCGTACGAGCTCGTCGGGGACCCGCTGGAAAAGTCCGGTTGAAGCATGGCGGTGACCAGTCGGGTGCGAGTGGGCAGGGCCGCGCAGCTCCCCCTGCTGCAAAATTTACTCAACCCAAGAAGAGCTTTCCATGCTTTGAGCTTCACACAACAGCGTAAAGTGTTACTGTCGCATGAAGATGCGAGGAAATGTAAGTATATCGGCGTATGCCATGCGCAGGTTTCGTCGTTTTTTTTACTAAGGCTGCCTTTTTACCATTCTTATCATGTGTAATACGCGTGACATGCGGGAGGTATGTGCCGTTATGTTGCACTCAGGTGTACCCATAAGCCTTTTTGTCTTTGAGAGGGTATTGCTTTCTGTGGCAGCACATAACCATTCTCTTGTGTGCTGGCTTGTGGTTTGGCATCTACACACTGATTCTGGGGTGTTGTTAATAGTTGACGCTCACCATGCATCGCGTATGGGTAAAATTTGTACCTAATCTTAAAAAAGAGCATTGTGCATGATAAGTTCCAGGGTAAGAGTTTAGGTGACCTGTTTTACGATGATTTACAATATGTTTCTGAATTACAACGATTAGTGATGTACGTTGCTCTTTTTTAACATTAGGTAGCAATGTGTACCACGGCCATGCATTCACATGAAAAATTCCAAGGAGACAAATTTAAATAGCTTTTCCATTTTCATTTTGGGACTACATGCATAATTATTTATAACATTGACAGCCCTCAGCCTGTCACCAAAAGCTCCACCCACTGCACCAGATACTTGACTGTCATTAAACTATCAAGTTTGGTGCATGCAGGAGCCAAGTATTGTTCAGGGCTTATGAAGCCTGAATTGAAATCATGTTCACATAGAGTTATGGTATTTTGCCTGAACTTACCCTTCCAACTTTCTAACTTCTTGAAAATTTTGCTCTGCAGGTACTGCAATTAATGGCAACCATGTGCATAATATGGCACCTCAAACTTACAGCCTGCATGCACCGAAATATATGACCTGATCTTGCCACTTTGCCCAACATGCTTGGCAGGTACTGTTAAAATATTCCTGTATTTTAGGCAGACTGAGCATGGGTAGAAATTTTATGTTTTGCATGCATTGCTTTATCCTGTTAGTCCTCAGCTGTGCTCAGATTTCATGCTTCAGGCAAGAAAAAACTTATTATTGGCTGGATGTTAGTAGTTTTATGATCTCCTGTGAATTGTCCAATATATTTCTTGATGATGTCTGAAAAGGATGCAATTTTTGTAATGGTTTGATTGTATTGGTCAGCATCAGCATGTGTTGAGCAATACTGGCATTTAGCATGCCACTTTTGCCATTATTTTAATGATGATTATAGAGTTAAAAATAGCACATGAAGGCATCTCAAGCAATGGCCAATGCCTGAAAACTCAGGCTCTTCATTAAGACTATTCAAACAGTTTTATTACATCACAGTGTGCAAGCCGTATGTTTGTGTGTAGCGATGTAACAATTTGCATCAGGTGCAATAGTCAGTAGGAGACTGATAAAAGCACTGTAGCTATCTGATCTCTGCTATGTGAATCAACTTGTCTCAGATTCTGACCAGCTTGAAATTGCTTCCATGATGGGTAATCAGACTATAGTGTGTTTATCCTGAAGATAAAATGATCATGCATTCATCACTGTATGTACATCATATCTTTCAGGCCTCCCAACATTTCAACAGAACAGGATGTTCCACCCATCCTGGCCAAGCTCAGCCAAGAAGGACTATTATGATATCTTGGGAATATCAAGGAATGCCTCTGCAAAGGATATAAAAAAGGCATATTATCAGTTGGCAAAGAAGTATCATCCAGACACAAATAAAGATGACCCAAAAGCTGGTCAGAAGTTTCAAGAACTCTCAGAAGCCTATGAGGTTTGTTGTACTTTGTCACAGAAGGTTGCCATGCAATTTTTCAATTCTTCCTTATAGCATGATCAACAACTTGTACTAATTATAATGAGCTGTATTTAGTGTTCTTGGTATGTGTTCTTAAATAATGTTTTGTGTTCTGTTCTAACTAGAAGTGACCTTTAAATCTCCTGGATGACAGACCACATTTGGTTGACACACTCCTCATTTTGCAAACTGTTTCAAGCTGCTTCCAAAATTGAGTTGTAGTCAATTCCCCAACTTTCGGCATGAATAATTACAAGCCTTGTGAACTTCTCACTCTGTGGGGTCGGCCCTCCTGTTCACCGGCCCCGTCGCGTGTCGGCGGCAGGTGCTCAGCGACGACACCAAGAAGCGCGAGTACGACGCGTGGGGCGCCACCCGCGAGCAGATGGGTAACGCCGGCCGCGGCCAGCCCGGTCAGTACGCGGCCCTCTCTCCGAAGCCGCCGCCCTTCGCCACAGACGCCAGTTCATGCTGGAGTCGTGGGCCATCCTCGATGCCTGGTCTCACTACGTATATTTGCGTCAACCGCCGCCGGGGCTATTCTTTGAAGTGGTTGTCGGGTTTTAGTAGTCCGCTTGCTTGGTTTAATGTGTACATGTTACATCATTTTTCATGTTGTCATCATGAAGTAGTCTGTTTTTTTCTTAAATGGTCAAACATATAATTTGTGATGTGATTTTAGTTATTAAGTCCGAATGATGGGATTGACTTCAACTTACCTCATGGGATTTCGCCACTTTTTGCTCAAATAAATGCGCCATTTTGCCTCTGACTGCTTGGCATTGCTAGTGGAACAATCATGTTAGCTGAAATCTCGTGTCGTCGAACTTGACCTCAGTCTTTGCGGCATTTTGCAGTGGGTTGCAACCGATACCAGCTCACTTCGCGGCTTGTTTCGCGCGCGGCTTTGGACCGCGGTTGAGCGGCTCGGCGCGTGAGGTGACGCTGGGCTCTTTCACACCGCCAGGCGGCTTCGGCAGGCAGCAGTGGGACTTCCAGTCACAGGTGGACCCCGAGGAGCTGTTCCGGAAGATATTCGGCGACTTCGGCCAGCGCGGCGCAGGGTTTGGGGACAGCTTCGATCAAAACTTTGAAGAGTCGAGGTTCGGGTTCGGTGCCTCTCAGGAAGTAAGTCGCCTCTGACGCAGGTGATTAACTCCTGAGTTGACCGGTTTGTAGCATTGGAACATTTGTTCCCCTTGATGTTGATATATGCACAATGTTAAGTCATGGAGTATCGCGAAACAACCTTTTGTTCCATGACTGAGCAGAATATGTGATTCAGTAAATAGCTGTCATCTACACTTAACGCGACACGGTAGTGGCCGCCGGTGTTCCAAAACAATTGTAACACAATTTGTGTCTACTCCTAATAACAAGTGTTTCAGTGACCAACCTATGTGCCAAAGCTGACCATTCAGAAGTGCACATAGCGTAATGGCCGGGGGCGCTGGAGGGCCAACACACGACTTATGCATTAAGCGTTGGAGATCAAGCTGTTGCGGCAGAACCTATATAAGCACAAAGCTTCCTTGTCCCCTCCCCCCCCCCCAAAAAAAAAACATGTAAGCTTAGCCTGAAGCAGACCGCTTTTGGTGAGAAGGGCACAAGGAAAATTGTAGTAACATCCCACATATGACAACATAACCATACAACACCCCCGCATGTCATGACGTTCTGCACGACCATGCGATGGCGTTTAGGCTTGGACCGCGTATGGCGACATTATCGGCGTGACCTCCGCGATGTGCCAGGCCAGCTTTGATCCTTCAAACCAAATTCCCAATGACTTGTTGCATGGTGAAGATAACATCGATCCACAGACGCCATTGATGCAGGAGTTCAGAGCAGCGTGGTTTGCCTTTATGCACGCTCGCTGTTGCGAGCCGCACAGAGTGAGGTCGCTGGGATGTCTTATTCTGACAGTAACCGCGTCCAATTTATCAGGGGGTTCTATTAAGAGCGTTGTGGAAGAAGCAATGGCTACATTGACAAAACTCGACGAAATCTCGGCGTGGATGCGCGAAGACTGCGAGCGATTCCATCCTGGGGCAATCGACACAGCTGAAAACACCGAGTTATACCAATAGGTCCCATGCCTCCTTGGTATGTCCTATAGCTGGTACGTCTTGGAAAAACAGAAGCTCGATGAATTTTTTGCGTATAAAAAACTAATTGGCTGAGGTCGGGAGAAAGTTAAGCTTAGATGTGATCGATCTCTGGGAGGTCAGCTCTCGTGAAGCGTCGTAGATGACACTTCTGGTCTCCAGTAGTTTGAGTAATGACATCAAGTTGAATACGATGTACGAGCCAGAGGGGGTGAAATAAGACCACTTATAACGGCTGGCACGCTTTTCAGTGGGAGGGAATGCTCTGTACAACACAGTTTCTCCTTTTAGTAGTGTTTAGTAAATATGCTCCTTAATATGTCATTGCCTGATTACATCATCGTACTGCGCACAACATTGATGAGGGCCAGTTGACGGCCGTTATATGTGGAAATCCTGCTCTTGTGATCACGAACGCCAGATATGAACGACTCGACAATAATATTTTTCTTCGACTTGACCGCCGCATGACTTACGTAATGTTAGAATTTGAATGATGTTACTATGGCGTCATGGATGCATTGGTGACCTTAAAATAGTCTCCCGAAACACTGCGCATTTTCGCGGACGTGTGGCTAGGAAATTAGAAAGTTAAGGTCTTACGAAGGGCAGGACTGTGAGCTGCACCGAATGATCTTCAAGATGGCTAGTTCAGTTCAAAACCCCATACAAATGTGGAAAACCCCCTTTGAATGCAAATTGGCGACAGATAATGGGATGAACTTGGACGGTTTGTCACGGTGGTTTTTCCTGTTTTTACTGGCACTATCCTTCCGTCTTCATGCTCTTCCAAAACCAAGGGGGTCCAATTGATGATGCCATGTGAACTGATGGCAACCCAAGCGGTGAAAAGTGTACTTTCCGACTTTTCTTTAGTGCACTGTTACTCACTTCGTCAGAGGTTACAGTTTTTGCTGTTGACGGCGCTTTTGAGGTGAAGGTCTTGATGGAATCATGACCTCGTCTGAAAGCCAAGCCTGGGTCCATCCTTCACACGACTCCATCACCTGATAGTTCACTGCGGGGTTACCGGCGGAGATTAAACCGACGTGGATGGCACTCTCCCCTCCATTTGGCACATAAAGCCAATCTTTGCTTCTTCTTTTGATTTTCTCTAGTCTAATTCGCGCTTTTGCAGCAAAATTTGCCAGAATGTGCTAGAGTTTTACATTGCGCGGACACAATTGTATGACCTGCTGCTGGATACGCGGGGTCTTGGCGATCGGAACTTCCCGTTTTTTTGTGTTTTTTTTCCGGTGAGCGCTGTCGACAGGAATTTCTGGGTTTTTAGACAGGCTGTCTCATGGCACATTTGTTGTTATTGGACAGCTGTTTCCGATTCGTCCAGATGATTTCTTATGGTCAGCAATGTCTTCCTCGCAAGGCGTTTCACTACCGTTAAGAATGCATTACTTGCGTGATGATTTGGACTCCCGATGGAACAGCCGCTGTGTTCTGTTCGCGGAGTTTGCTGCTTAGTCTGTAATGCCGCTAATTTAAGTTGGTGCCCTATCTCATACGACACGTTTGTAACAGAGCCAACTTGGTGGCAAGTATCTCGCTAGCTTGTGGAACATCAGCTTGTAGAACGCTAGCTTATTTAATAAAAAATAACAAATAAAGTTTTAAGAGTAATGATGAAAAGTCAAATAACGCCAATGTTCTGAAACACCCCGGGCATTTTACCATGCGTCTAGGCGGCTGCCGCTTGTCTGCCTCCTTAGGCCTCGTGCGTGTGCAGTGCGCCATCTCTCGTCGCCGTGCTGACTGCTGTGGCCGCTGCCCGGCAGGTGGCGATGAACCTGACGTTCCAGCAGGCGGCGCGCGGCGTCAACAAGGAGATCACGATCAACACGGTAGACACGTGCCCGGTGTGCGGTGGCGCGCGCGCCGCGCCCGGCACCAAGGCAGTGCGCTGCCCGCAGTGTCACGGCACCGGCATGGAGACTATCAGCACAGGTGGGCCGCCGGCGACGCTCCTGTGCGGCCGGCCGGCGCCGACGCTGGGCGGCTGTCATCAGCTGATGAGGGCGTCCGCACCGCGTGCCGGGCACCCCTGACTGCGGCCCGTGCGGCGCACTGCTCGCTGCGTCCCGGGGGCTAGCTCGTTACGTCCTGTGTGGTTTGAAACGGAGGTTGGCTGGGGTTTGTACTGTGGCGCTGCAGGCCATCGCCCACCAGGGGGCGCCGTTGGCAGCTCATGCCTCCAACACTCGCGCGCCGGACCGTTGCCTTTTACTGCAGTGACCGCCGACTGTGGGTGGAGTCGTCAGAGCGCCGCTGCGGGCCCCTCTGCCCCTGTTGCGAGTGTTAACGCGGCCCTCTCCGCAGGTGCCTGCCCGACCGGCGCCGCGGCGCCTGGCCGGCCGGCACACGCCCTCACGCCGGCCCCGCTCCGTTTGCAGGGCCGTTCGTGATGCGCTCCACCTGCCGCCAATGTCAGGGCACGCGCATGCACATCCCGCACAGGTGCGTCGAGTGCAACGCCAAGGGCAGCACCGTGCAGCGCAAGACCATCAGCGTTCCTGTGCCTGCTGGTAGGTGGGCCGCGCGGCCGCGCCGGCCGTCTCTCCGAGGGGCGGCGATGGTCGTCCAGGCATCCTGGCATCTCAGCGTGGTTTTGGCTTAGACGTGTCATTGTTGTGACGTGGCTGTTTCTCTGGACGTTTGTCTCCCTCGCCAGCGTGGTTTTGATGTAGACTTGTCATTGGTGTAACGTGGCTGTTTCTCGGGGGGTTTCTCTCTCGCCGTCGGTCTCCGCTGGAGGTTCGTCCATGGAGGGCGGCGGGTTCCCGTCCCGCCCCTGGTGTCGCCGGCTGGTGACGCGTGCGTGGCCCTCCCCGGCAGGCGTGGAGGACGGCCAGACGGTGCGGATGCAGGTGGGCGGCAAGGAGCTGTTCATCACGTTCCGGGTGTCCCGGTCCGACTACTTCCGGCGGGACGGCGCCGACGTACACACCGACTGCTGGGTCAGCCTGACCCAGGCCGTGCTGGGCGGCGCCTCACGGGTGCAGGTCAGTGTGCCGCACCTCCTGCTGGGTCAGCCTGACCCAGGCCGTGCTGGGCGGCGCTTCACGGGTGCAGGTCAGTGGGCCGCACCTCCTGCTGGGTAGCCTGGTACAGACCGTGCTGGGCGGCGCTGCACGAACGCAGGTTAACTGACTGCATCGACCGGTGTGTCAGACAGCGCTAAGCGAGTTAAGGAGACTACAGGCCCCTGAACCACCCAGCTGTTGAATGAGGCAGACCATAGGGTCCTCCGTTGCATGGTGTGGAAAGGTCTATGACCAGAGCCGCACAGTGTGCTGGCTGATGGTGCACTGGAAATATGACGAGGCGGAACCGCGCCACCAATAGGCGTTCTGGCTCACTCCCGTGCTCGCGTGGCCTGCCGTGGCTTAGCTGTTGGTGCGGATCTGGTCCGAGGCCGGCGCGCCAGCCGGCTCCTCATCACACCGCGCGTGACGTCCGGCAGGGCATCTACGAGGACCTGACGGTGCGGATACCGGCCGGCACCTCCTCCCACACGCGCGTTCGCATCAACGGCAAGGGCATCCGGCGGGTGAACGCCCACGGCTACGGCGACCACTACGTGCACATCAAGATCAAGGTGAGCGGCCCCGGCCCCGCCCCGTAGCATCGTGGTGGGGCCTGGCTGTCTGTGTAGTGGAGGGGTAGGACGGCTGTGGACGGGCAGCGTCGGCGGCCTTTGGATTGTTGGACGTGACGGGTAGCCGTGGTTGTGAGCAGTGTAATATGAGCTTGGAACCGAGGGGCCGGCGTCCATGCGGTCGTAGAGACGCCCGTTCTGCAATTGGCAGCTTATCTGTTTATCCAGGTGGCGCGTTTCGGCAGTGTGGTTGTGGACGGGGCGTTGGGCTGTACCTAGATGGCGCCTGCGTGCCGTGCACCATGCCGTCTTTTGGTGGCGGCGTTTACCTCTGAATGGCGTGACGGGCCGCTGCCCGCCCCTCAGCTGGCGCGGCCATCACGTGTATGTGACCTGACCTGACCTGAACGGGCCGCCGTGCGTCGCAGGTGCCGGAGCGGCTAGACGAGCGCCAGCGGGCGCTGTTCACCGCCCTGGCCGAACTCGAGTCGGGCGGCTCCGGCTCTGTGGACGGCTTCACACACGACAAGGACGGTATGTGCCGCTCAGGGGACGCTACGACAGGTGACGGGCCGGCCAGCAGACGCTCCGACAGACGACAGGGCCGGACAGGGGCTGCTCCGATGGGGCCGGCCAGGGGGTGCTACGACGGGGCCGGCCAGGGGGTGCTCCGACAGGCGACAGGGCTGGTCAGCTGGACGGTGTGGCGCTCGGACGCCGTGCGAGCCGCGTAGTGTTACGTCAAACACCGTGCTGGCCCGGCGGCCGCGAATTTGTGTTGCATCACGCGAAATTGGTTAAACAATAGATAAAATTTGTCATTGGAGGGAATGGCTTATCGAACTTTGAAGTGTTCGTTTTAGTGTGCGATACGCTGGCGGAGTGTGGAAGTGGTATGATTCCGCACCATCTGAGGGGGCGAAAAAGCCTTATGGATAGCAGTCGTTAGCTTTAAAAGAGGGGACACTGCCTTTTTTTATGACAACTACAATGCGGGTGCCAGACATTCAATGCGAAAAAATCGGCCTGGCTCCTGACATTGGAGCGCGCTGGCGCGAGCCACGACACCGGTCGGTGTTTGCCCACGCTGAGTTTGACATCTCCAGTACGTCGTTGGGAGACAGTCTGTTCCCTTTCGCGTGAGTCTCGGCGCAGGAATTTGGCTGGCTAGAAAAGAGGGTCTTCACTTTCAGTTATCCACAAGATTTGCGTCCATGGCGACAGGTTAACGGATTTAAAATGATATAGCCTGACTTTACCACATGAATCATGATGGACATCTCCTTAAATTGATACCGGACGGTAGAGATGTTTCGGTTGAGCGCGCCTACGGTGGCGGTGGTGTTTTTTGGCCTCCGTCTGCTCCCGGGCCCGGCCAGGCGTGTTTGTCAGCCACTAGCCGTCTCTGAGGTGCCTGCCGGTTGCGGAAGTGACCCGCCTCCGGCGTCGCTCCCCGGCCGGCGGCCCGCAGCGAGCCGCGCCTCATCGCTCATGTCCGGCTGTTGATGACGCGTGGCTCGACGGGCCCGTGGCCGCCGCCCGTTTGAAGGCGATCTGTTGCGCTGGCTAGAGTGGCGTCTAGTTTCTGCCTGTCTTTGCAGGCGATGTGGCTGACAAACCGCTGGCGAGTTCAGAGGAGCAGACGAAGAAAGAACTAGAGAGCCAAGAGGGCCTGCTGACTAAGATTAAAAAAGCTATATTTGGATAAGTGAGTATTATAGCGATGGAAAGGCACGACTGCGGGGCTGGAACTAAAAGAAAATACGCGCTTAATTGTAATGTCAGTGTTGGTCGTAGGACGAAAAGTGACGTTGCAAACTTAAAGCTGAAATTCCGTTCCGAAATAGTGATGCACTTGCACCATTGTTTCGTAAAGGATACTCTACACTAAATAACGTTACACATGCACACTTCACTCTAGAGTGCGCATGACACTTCAGCGTGGATTGTTGGGACGGCATTGTTACGCTGACATTGGTATGTACCATTCGGTTTGCAATTTTTATCTGTGTTATGTTTACGGCTAACATCATGTAGTATTGGGAAATGCCCTGGGCTCCAGGATTGCCTGCACCGCTAGTAACAAATGATATCGCCTGTTGTAACACGCGAAGACTGAATGGGTGCCCGGGAAGTATGTGATTTCGAAAGCTTTCCGTGTGAAGTGTTCTAAGTTTGCCACTTTAGCTGGGTCTCCTGACGTAGTGCAGGTTGCTGACGGTCCTGTTTCCCATGTGTGTTCGGTGTTCTGGTGGTGTCTAGTACCCCATGCTCGCCACGACCCCTGCGGCAGCCGACGGCACGGTCTGGGCTGATCGCCCCTGGCGGCGCTCCTCGAGCGTCAGTAACACGAGCCCTGGCCGGCAGGAGAGCGCGTAGCCACGGATGACCTGCACGGCCTGCTGGACCGGCTGCGCGCCGCCCTGTCCAGCCCGCCGGCCCCGGACGCGGCCGAACCGTCCCAGCCGGCCGACACCGGCGCCTCGGAGGGTGAGAAGGCCGGGACGGCTGCGAGCCGGGAGACCGAGGCCTCGGAGAGCCGGGAGACGAAGACGGAGACCGCGAGCCGCCAGGCGGGCTGAGAGGCTGGGAGCGTGGCCAGCACACCTGGTCGGCCCGGCCGCCGGCCGATGGGCACTGTCACAGGCCTGGGCCCGGCGGACCGGCGAATGAACGGACGATCTCCCTGCGGACCGGAGCACGGTCTCCCGGCGGACTGGGGCGCTGTCTCCTAGCGGACCGGAGGATGGTCTCCCGGCGTACCACCGGGAGGCGATCTCCCGGCGGACCGACGGACGGTCTCAGCGTACCGGAGGACGATCTCCCAGCGTACCGGAAGACGGTCTCCCAGCATACCGGAGGATAGTTTCCCAGCGGATCGAGGCACGGTCTCCCGGCGGAGCGGCGGACGGTCTCGTGGCGTTGGGACGGCGCTACAGCCCCCGTGGCTCGGTCGTAGTGACAGTGCTGTAGCTGTAGCCGGCCCGGCGGGCGAGGTCGGCTGTTGAAGGATCGGTCGGCTGGCTGTGCCCCCTCCCCCTCCCCATGCTAGGATTTCGGCAACGGTCTGCGTTGACCGTCGGGAAAGGCAATAAACCTCTTCTGAACAGATGAAACTCATTTAAAGGAATCGTTCGGCCGTGCCTAACCACTTTTCGGATTAAAGCGGGGCAAATGGGGAACTGCACTTGATCGCGAATTGTTGCCACCGTTAGTATGACGATGAGGGCTGGCGTTATGCTGAAGACTGGTGAGCGCAACGACTTGCATCTATACCAATGGCCTTGTTGCAGGGACATGTTTTTCCATCTGGTGTACATGTGTGTGTGCTAGTGCAATTGTCTTGATGTGAAGACATTACAAGGACATGACATGACTGCAGGTCCGTGTCTGCGTGCCGGCGGGTGCGGCAGATTGAAGGGCTGAAGGGACGATTTCTCTTAGCTTGGTCGTGGTCCCCGCCATACTTGTGTTAACGTCTAAAGGAAGGCTGAGGCTGAACCCGGACACGGAGGAGCTTAGTCTCATACGAATAAAACGAAAACGAACAGCAACACAAAAAAGTGTATGTGAGCCGAGCAAAACTGGTCAGAAATGTGTCTGCCAAGTTATGCCGAACGGCAGCTTTTCCGTCATATTGTCGGCCTGGCTTCCGGGTTCTTGTCGGGTTCTCAACTTGACAAAGTAGACCGTATTTGTGCGGCAAAATAGTGTCATGACGAAACCGTTTCAGGACTCCTGACTGAAACACCTGCCCACATCCATAGCATGTTATCTCATGAAGTATTGGCTGTGGTGCAATGCTTGCGATATGGTCGGAACCCACGGTCTTTTGCGGACGGGCACGCCATGGCAGTGGCCTGGGCTTGGGGGTCAGGACGGCTACGTGCTCCCCAGCTGCATCCCTCCTCACTTGGGCTCGGGGGTCAGCACGGATACGTGCTCCCCATCTGCCTTCCCCTTCGCTTGGGCTCGGGGGGGGGGGGGGGGGTCAGCATGGATACGTGCTCCCCATCTGCCTCCCTCTACGCTCACGGTTCAGTGAGGTGGTGCCGCGCTCAGTCCGCCTGCTCCAGCTCAAGACGGCGGGCTAATTCCCCGTGATTCACAGCCAGCTGCGGACAGGCACGTGCGTCGTACTCCCACGGGAGCGCGTGGTGGCGCCGTCACCCCGGCAAAGCCAATACTGGGCGGATTAATGGGCGGCGCGCCGGCGGATCGGTCAGGCCTGCGGCGGGGGGAGCGGCCAGGTCCACGGCGGGGTAGCGCCAGGGGAGCGGCCAGGTCCACGGCGGGGTAGCGCCAGGGGAGCGGCCAGGTCCACGGCGGGGTAGCGCCAGGGGAGCGGGCAGGTCCGCAGCGGCGGATCGGTCCGGCCTGCGGCGGGGGGAGCGGCCAGGTCCACGGCGGGGTAGCGCCAGGGGAGCGGGCAGGTCCGCGGCGGGGTAGCGCCAGGGGAGCGGGCAGGTCCGCGGCGGGGTAGCGCCAGGGGAGCGGGTAGGTCCACGGCGAGGTAGCGCCAGGGGAACGGGGAGGTCCGCCGCTGCTCGAGCTGAGGTGGACCGAGCGCTGGCATTACCGGGTGAGGTCGCATAGGGGAGGGCTAACGCCTGACTCGGTCGCCGGAAGCTCTGATGATGTTGAACGAGGGACACCGCAGTGCGAGATGCGGCCGGTGGTGCTGCTGTGTGAATCAGACAGTGAGGTGGTAGCTTCGCTAGTCGCGGGCCGCACCGGGACGATGCGGCACACATAGAGGGCGACGGGACTCGTGTTGTGTACGTGACCATCTGACCAGAACTGTGTGACACACATGATGGTACGCCGGAAATGCGGCATCCATTGCCTGACCTTTCATACATAAGACACAAGCCTTTTGTCACAAATGTGCGTACTTGCAAAGGTGGTCTTAATACCCGGTTTGCAGCTGGCTCGATTGCCGGCGCGGTTTGCTCACTTGTGTTGTGCAGGCATGGACAAAACGCGGCTTTTCGTTGCGTAGCTTGTCATGTCTTGTGGCATATTTTTCAGTTTCATTTTTGGTTATGCTGTGGGTCTTTGCTGTATATGGGGCCAGTATCTGCAGTATCTGCTGTGTGGCATGAAGGCCAGATAATTCAGCGACGGGGAAACGAATTTCAGAGCTGAGCGTTTGTTTAACTTACCTCCTCACTCAATATCTGTAGCTGCTCTTCCAATTACACCTCCGCACTGCAGTGAAAGAAATGACGACATATATCTTATATTCTTTTCTCGGGCGGTTCACACGTCGGCTGAGCTCGGACACAGTGAGCCGCTCCATAAAACCGGACAGTGATTTAGAGCCGCGTCGTTTCGCCAATCATTGTATGGTCCTCGCCGCCGGGCTCCCGGCCCTGCCCGTTCAATTTGCGACGCTGTCTCTGCAATCGGCGGAGCCGTATTTTTCCGGCGCATTTTGCTCCGTCTGCGAGAGGACATCATTAATAACCGGCGGCAGAAAACGTGCAACGGAAACAAAATTACTTACCAATAAATGACCAACCCATATTGCCTGGCGGTGTGCAGTTCGATCGGGCCGATTAATGGCCTGTGATTAATGAGCCAGCAGCGGCGGCCTGCGCCTCCTTTGTGCCGACTTGTGCTATCGTCTTCTGCGCTTAACACACGCCTGATGGATAGTCGGCTGTTTCCATTGTGGGCGGCCGACAGCCGCCAATCCATTGATTTCGGCCGGGGTCGGCCCTCGCAGGCGTTCCTGCCTCCCCTCCTCCCCTACGGTCGTCGCTTGCGGGACCCCCTCCACCAGCAGCCTGCATGAACGGGTGCTTTCCGTGTCTGGCGGGCAGCGCGGACACCAGACCAGAGAGTGATGGAGTCGCTGCCGGCTCTCTGGCCCAGACTCGATTCAACTCTTCCCTTTCCCCTGCCAACAATCTGAAAAGGGTGTTAACTGTCATCATGAGGTGTAGTTTTGAGTTAAGGCCGTGCCACGGACCTACATTGATCGCCCTTATTCACGCTTGACCGGTCGTATGTTGTGTAATGAGGGCCCGATGCAGCTGTTACAGCCTTGTGATCTGACTAGTGATTGCAAGGTTGCAAAGTGACGCGTCGTTAGCCAGAGTACCTAGATCAGCGCTCGTGAAGGTCGGCCGTGCTCCCGGCGCTCACACCCAGGATCTCCTCCCAAGTCACGTCCCGGGGGATCGTTACCCTTCAGTCAGCAAGGTGCGCGGTGGCATGCGGCTCGGTATAGATAGTGATAAAGACTGAAAGACAAGCTAGCCTGAAAGACCTGCGTCAAAAGACGACGGGACAGTATTCATCGGCGTTCGGTGGATGTGGTGACGCGGTTCGTCTGCGTTCAAAAGTGCAGAACGTGCCGAAAGTCTGCGAGCGAGCAGACGCGGCTCTGTGAAGTCTTGCTGCACATGACGTCAAAGCATCCGGGCTTTGGTGACGAGTCGACTTCTTTGAAGGAGCTCTGGGCGCTCGCTGTTATCCGCATTTGCACGGGGTGAGGGAAATTGTCCCTGCCTCGCTCTCCTCGATGCCTGCTCGCCATAAGCGTGGGCATCTGCCGGTGTGCAGTTATTAACCTTGCACCTCATGTCTGGACGTGATCCATCACCACAAAAGGTCCGGGACCTGCCCAGAGCGTCGACGGCGGGATCTCATCCGCCAGGCCACCCACGGCAGCAGGCCTGCCACCCGTGCTAACGTGCTGAGTCAGACCGGCCAGGTGCAGAGAGCAGCCCAGAGCTACATCAAATCGACCAGCAAAATAGCACGGCTTGAATACGAACACAACATTTAAAATCTACGTCCACTTGTCACTTTAACATGCTGTCATGACATCCAGCTACCAGTGTCGCCATCCACATTAAGCTGTTGGCTCGAAAGAGGCCATCCCGCCGGAACCGTGTTGACAGTTCCGACACAGTTGGCAGGCAGGCACTCCAGCGTGATATGCGAAACATCCACTTGTTTGTGTTCGCGTCCCCCAACTCGATAAGCGACATTCTACGGCTGGTGTGGGTATACGGTTAAGCAAGTATAGCATAATTTTTGTAGAAGTTAAATTAAGATCTCAAAGTAAAGGCAAATGGGCGGCAGCCCTGGTAGAAAAATGTGAGCATTTTCATGGAGAATATCGACCCCGCAGCGCGCTCCCAAACGCCTAGTACACTTGTAGACCCAGAGATGGCAGCAGCAGTCCAGCTGGGATACATAGCTGTGCCTCCAGGCATCGTTGCAGTCTCCGTTCAACCCTGAGCCCGGTCAGCGATTGCGTGAGAACATTTTATTCACCAACACATAATATTTGCGTGCAGCTGCATGGGGAGAGCACACATGCACTTAATTGCATTTTCCGCATGGTTGGCGGGCTCAGCTGGTAATCCGTTTCCCGGACGACGGGAGCCGGGCTCAAATTACATGACCTCTTCACACCGTCTCATATGCCTGTGTGTTTCCGGTTCTGATGCTCTGTCGCCGCTACGCCGGTGGGGAGTACCAAGCAAAAATCGGGGTCGATGACTGGCCCCACCAATTACAGGCGTTTCCGAAGGAGCGGTATAAAGCAGTTCTAGTAGCTTTTCCTCCGGCAGTCGTGTCTCGACACCGCAGCAGGCGCTCGTAAGGTTGTGGTATGGTTCGCATATTTGGCCATCCCGTTACGTGAATGCAACGTCGTGAACTTATCCAACGGCGGACTACCCTGTGGCAATAACAGACAGTCAAAGGGCATCTCTGGGAGCGGTAACAGGCGCAATCTTCCCCTCTTTCCTCATTCTCGCCTCATCCCGCACCCTCGCGATGCCGCGTTTATCCGGAGCTACATGCGCCAGCTTATGTAACCGCTGGTAGAGGCCCCGTCCGAGCAGCGAGGACATATCCCGTATGTGTTCGGGGCTAGTCTCTGTGTGGGCTAAGTCCCGGCGGAGGCTCCCCCTCCCCCCTTGTGTATGTAGTTTTACCCCACCACTACCGACTCTCCTCCATCACGTTGCTCTGCAATGGTCGCTGCTTACCAAAGGGCTCTAATCTAAACCAAACCAAACCAGCAGGCGAGGCGCCTGAAGTCCTCACCTCGACTCTGAGTGGGTGGGGACGAGGCGGGATCACCACCTAGCGGCGACTGATAAGCCCAATGGGGTGGTGTCGGTAGCACATTGTCCTCCGCGGCGCCGCCCGGCAGTGTCAGCTTCGGCCACGGACGCCCCGCGCCACCCTCTTGTTTGCACAGCCCAGCAAAAACGCCAGGCATGAAGCGGCAGTGCACAGCTGAGTTCGCTCTTCGGCCAACGGCCGTGCAAAAAACGTTGCGAAAACACGCCTTTCAGCGACGGGACGCGCAGTGAGTTATACTCAGATCGGCTGCGCGCTCCAGCGCGTGC